TGCTTCTTCAAAAGAGGGGTCAAATAGTGTCCAAATGACCTGAAATTTGGAAGGTAGGCTTAAAATCCTATAGATTAAGAACCCACCAAATCTCATCTTGATCGGAGATTGTTTGCTATGACCTCCTTTTTACGCAACTTGACCAGGGCATTGTTCCTTTCCACTGCATGCTGCCCATTTTATAAAGAAAGTTCTGTTGAGATTCTTCCAAACATTTGAAGACCCTCCAAGTTTCATCCCCATAAAAGACCATTTAATGGGTCTATGAGGGAAACGGGGATGTTTGCAAATCATTAACAGCCCCACTTATAAAAGAAAGTATACTGCGTAGGTGTCTGAATTTCACTGAAATTTGATGAGGGGAATACCCTCATGCTAACTTGGATGCTCCCGAAGTTGGGCACATGATTTTGGATTGACCAACGGTTAACTGATGCTGCATTTTGGCTACCGACTATCCGGGTGACCAATTTTTTCTTGCAACGCCTTGCCATATGTGGCGTGTAGGCTGTGCAAGAGCTGCAATTCACCTCAAAGTGAATATAGGTGAGCTCCCGCAAAAGATTCATCAGATGACAGGGGCGTGAGATGGGAACAGGAGGCTATGGTTGTGAGGATCTGTAGAAGCAGCTTGCTTGACTAGGAAAAGAAAGAGTGAGGACTTCATTTCATAAAAGTGACATGTCTATTAACCTTATGTCCTATCTCTAGTACGCATAAGATGTAATACTCTCATTGAAAGATGCAAACATTGGCCTAGGAAGATAGCATATCATGATCTGAAGCTGGAAGATGCACAGATCAATGACATCCAAAAGTGATCATTTTGTGTGGTTATCTTCTTCTGTATGGCTAGAGAGGGGCCAGGGTTCACCTTCTCTCCCAAGATAGACTAGAAACATATCCTTCAGAATTTCTTTGCCCTTTGTTTTTTTTTAGTATTTATTTTAAATAGGTAAGATTTCCCCTTGGATTTGGCCAACTTAGCTGTAGATTTTACTGTTGGTTTATTCCAGTTCTAAAACATGTGAGAAATCTTTCCATCTCAACAGAGTGAATAGTTTCCCATGGTTTTAATGATGCACTAACTAAAATTTAATGAGAATAGAAATATTGTGGAGCTTCTGATGGTCAAGAAATCTTTTTATGCGTTAGTTGACATATATGAGTCTCTTGCAATCTATAGTGCGCACACATTCTATTCTTTTCTATTATTATGTTATACTGTATTTGATGATATTTTATATTGAATTATATTGTATTGCATTGTATTATTTTGGTATACTATATTTATAATATATGACTGGTAGGATTTACTATATTATATTATTGTATTATACTATATTATATTATATTATATTTTATCAAATTATGTTATGTGGGTCCAAGGATATACATATGGATGGGCTTATGAATGTCATTGGAACTTGGAGCAATGTGGTGGGCTATGTTGGTTGAGTTCCAACTTTGAGGCTTATGATCATGTCTATGGTCCTTGTAGGCCACTGGAGAAGAATAATTTGTGGGATGCCTTCGGTGCTTGGAAAGGGCATTTAATGCCTTTCATTTCACATATGGAATGAGGGGTGAATTATGTTTCTATGATGATGTGCCAATAGTATTCACTGAGTGTCTTATCTAATTATTTTGTCAAGTGGTTATATGTACTTCGGATTGATGAGCAATTGAGGATCCTGTGGTCTTAGACTCAGTTGCTTCTCTCTTTGGAGTGGGAGATGATATGTTTGGTGCAGGTTCTATGGCTTTGCCAGATCTCATGTTGATTCATTGAATACCTTTCCGTTGGACTTGGATCTTGGTTGCCAGGGATCCTTGTCTTTCACTTTGAGCTCATGCATTTCAATCACAATTTACTCCAGAATGAAGTTAGTATTTGCAGATCTCTTTCTATGTGCAAGGGCGACGGATATTCATATTATTCAAGAAACTTTAATTGTCAAGGGGATCCTATTTGTACGGAATGAGGAGCTTCTTTGGAGATTGGATCTAGAAAGGGTGATACTTCTTCATGGACTCAGTAACTTTGGTATGTTGGAGGAAGATGGAAAATTTAATTGCTGGAGATGTCTAGTGCACATCTCTAGGAGAGGGAGGAAGAACAAGAAAAAAAAAGGGAAGACATCTGGGGATTGTTTTGGAAACATTAATTTTGGGAATGGGAATTGCACCCGATAGCAAAGCTCCTACGAGTGAGGGAAAGAGGCAAAGAAGAGTGCAAGATGAGTGAAGGAAATTTCATGATGGGAGGAATACAGGGTGAGGCAATTGAAGGATTGTCTTATTACATTGACGTGGATGGCAGAAAGCTCAAGGTTAGGACTGGGAGAGATGAAGAATATAATTACTCAGAAGTTATGAAATACAAGATGTCTTTGGATTGGGTTGAGTTTTCCTCCCTGCCATATTGTTGAGGTGCTCTAAAAGATCTTTCATGGAAGAGGTGACATAAGTTGTGTCCAGTCTTGAGACAAGGCCTTTCCATTGGATGCCTTTTTTCTTATCTCACTTCCAAGTGTTTTGAGATGTCACTGGAAGCGATTGCCATAAGTCCACCAAAAATTGTTTTTGGTTTTAAAATACTGTTTGAGGTCATGGGGACCTTCCTTCTGTTGTGCCGTAAAAGAAGGCTCAGGAAATCAAGGACTTTGTACCAGGCATGTACAACATAGGAGAAGGTTTAAGCTAAAAAATCAAGGAGATCATGCCACTAAATTTTTTTTGTGATGTTTGCACTAAATCCTTGTTATCAATAATTATTACCAGGGAAGTTTTTTCTTCCTGCCTGCCCTCTAACAAGGATCATTTAATGGATTGATGGTTAGATGAGGAAAAGTGAGGTTCATGGAGATTGTGGTCATATCTGATGATTAGTTGAGGATGGTGTCATGTGGAGGGATGTGCCTTTAAATACTGCAAAAGGAAAAGAGAGGGACAAGAGCTCTTCAATCTTGTCCACAATACGATTAGGGCTGAGTCCTAAAATATTACATGCATGCATCATTTGTCTTTAAAGACTAACAAATGATGAAAAGGACCAGAATATTATAGTATATGATGTTCTCATGAGGAAGCAAGAGATATCATCAGGAATTTGCTACAAGAAACTGATGTCTCTCAACTTTTGGACACTTAATGAAGAAACAGGCAAGCTGTAATAAAGATGGCAGACAAGGCAATGATAACGTCCTATTGTGACTCAAGGTGCATATTACTCTTCGTGAAACACATTGTGTGTGTGGTGTTTGTATACTTGCAATTTATACAACATTAATTGTGCAAATTCTACCTTTCCTTTTATGTTTGCCAGGAGATTCAGATATTTTAGGGTTGTTACTTTTTCGTTTTCCTGTTGTAAGTTTTGATTCTTTACGATTTAGAGTCATTTTCATACAAACAACAAGGATTCTTGTCATTTTACGTATTTGGTGGTTGAGCAAGATGATTTGATATGACAGATTCTGTACAAAGTAGTTTTGATTCCGTCATGCTGCAAGAGACCAAAAAAAAAAAAAAAAAAGCCATTCGGGAATTTTTCATGAAAATTTTCTATCTGGAAAAGGGCGATTGTACTGATTGTTGATTGACTGAACCATCTCTGTCATCCTTCTGTAAAGCAAGATCTATCTTGGATTACTAAAACAGGTTAACCAAGTATGGCTCCAGATTTGATCCAGTTACTCACAAATGAAGGTGCTTGGGATTTTTTTCGATAGTTGACTGCTATGCATTATGGCATCATGTTGTACACAAGGGAACATACATTATGCGATGTATACGAAGTAATTAAAGGTTTGGCTGGGATACACCATAACCATCTAGAATGAAGATAATCATCTTCATTATCATCCGAACCTTATCCCAACTTTTTGGGGTTGGCAACATGAATCCTATTCTACCATATTGGATCATGATTAATGATAGAGATGTGGCAAAAGTTTTACGTTGATTGCCAACCTAACACAACTCTCCTTCCGCACCAGGGCAGTTCTAAAATGAAGATACTACAAGTTATTATTAAAAAGGAGCAGATGAATGGTATTCCTGACCTAAGCTACATGTTGGCGTAAAATCACTAGGGAAGTAAAAAGGGAGTGTAGAAGAAGTCAACTTTACTCAAAAAAGGGACTTCAGAAGAAGTATGTGATGTTATAAATTTTCCATCAACACAGTCTTGTATTTGTAAAAATAAGGAATCTGCTCAATGAGAGTAACATTTTGAGTAGTAAAGATCTTAGGTGAGAAAGGATCATGTCATGTGTAAGCCCTTTCATCTAGTGCATAATGAAAACACGCAGTACAGACAAGAAGATTCATGAATATTTTAAATATCTAGGAGTTTATGACTAGGATTCTAGTTGGGATTTACCACCTCTAGAAGGATTTCAACTTCTCCTTGTTAAGTTGCTCTTTGTTCGTCGACCAAACAGGATTTAGAAGAGGGTATTTGCAAAGGAAAACATTTTTATTTGCCCACGGATGTACTGCTACAGTTTTGTCTCTCTCCAATTGGAGGCCTTGAGTGCATTTATTTGGCCTCAAATTTTGTGCACACATTTTCTTTGACTTTATTTGGCCTCAAATTTGGTGTACACATTTTCTTTGATCCAAGTAAGAAGATTGGTAGAAAATATTAGAAAAGGAAAACTTAGAATATAGTTTTTCTGAGGGACGATTTCTTGTACCAGAGTCCATGGGACTCAGGTAAATCATGGAATTAGAAACCATAAGTTCTTAAAACATCTTTTGAGCAGGCATGCAATTTTGGCACACTTGACGTGTCCTGCATATGCATACATTGGTGATCATCTTGTTACATAACCGTCTAATCTCTACATTTTCTTGTCTGTCAGTGTATATATTATGATGTATAATCAGTTTTTATAGTTACTTTTCTGATTGATGGCTTGTCATTCTATTACAGTTACAGAATGGTCAGACACTATTACTTTTCTGATTGATGGCTTGTCTTTCTATTACAGTTACAGAATGGTCAGGGGGACTTTATGTTTCTCCTACTGTGGCTGGTAGCAGGTCTGGTGGGTTGATTGCTGGAGCTTGGGCAGCTATGATGTCTCTAGGATTGGAAGGTGATTCTTCTGATTTTGTCGTGCTTTTTCTGAAATAATGATAGGAAATGTTATCTTTATTCTTGTTTTTGTTTCTTCCTCGATTGTTGATGGGTCACTGCCATTCCCATTTTGCATGCAGGGTATATGGAACATACGAGGGTGCTTATGGAAACATCCAAGAGAATTCAGAATGGGTGAGAAAAACTCATTTGGAAACATCTCTCTCTCTCTCACACAGTCACACACATCTCACACATTTAACGATTATTGGCGCCAGTGAGACTGACTAGGTCTTTTGTCAGGATAAAGGAAATCTCAGAATTATTCATCATTGGAAAGCCCCATATGACAGTAATAGCATTTGGATCAAAGGTGATAGATATTTTCAAAGTTAATGATGTTATGTCATCCAAGGGTTGGCACTTAAATGCCCTGCAAAAGCCAAGCAGGTTAGGATTGTTACCATTTTAATATATCTTAAAACACAGTGGGATTTTCAATGACAAAGTACAAACTTGGATTTCCTTCTTTTTTGTCTTATCAGTGTGCATATCTGCGTAACCCTTCAGCACACACCTGTTGTTGAGGATTTCTTGATAGATTTAAAAGAATCCGTGAAAATTGTGAGTGGATATTCTCTTATAGATTCTCAAAGGCATTTGTGTTTTTTTATCTTCTCTGGTCATATTAATATTGAGTGGTGCATTGAAGATAGACCTTTCATCATATTTTTCTCTTTTTCTCTCATTGACTATTTGAGGTCTCTTTGTTGGTTTCCTTTTTGCAGGTTAAAGAAGAACCAGGAACAATTGAAGGTGGCCTTGCTCCCATTTATGGAGCTGCCGAGAAAATGCCTGATAGAGGAATGGTTCAGGATTTGATTGTGGCTTTCATGGATAGTACTTGTTAGCTTTTCTGTGGATTCATAGCTCAAATTGTGGTTCTTTGTTTTCCTATCCAGAGCCTGGTGAGTGGTTCATTTGAATACAACTTATGTAATCTTTCATTTGTTCATTTGAATTTTGTCTGACCAGAATGGTTATAAATTAAGCCATGTTATTATTGTAGTGAAATCTTGTATATTCAGCAATAATTCAGTATATCATTGTGCTTATGCGAACAAATTGATGTTAACTTGTGAGTTAAACTATCCATCAAAGGAAGTTTTTCAAGTATATGAAGAATAATGGAGGAACAAAAAAATTAAGTCTTAGACATTGATGGTTCAAGGTTCTTAGAGTTCTTTATTGTGATGCACTATTAATTTGACATGCACTTTGGGTTGTTCTTGAAGGTGGTGATGGAGGTTTTCTTTCATACACAGCTTATTATGCATTATAGAATGTTTATCCTATAATGAGGAGACATCGTTTGGAGCTTTTCAAAGCTCATAGATATAATGCTTTTGGTGTATGATATGCAGTAGAGCTCATGTGAATGAGAAACCTTCATTTGAAACCAGTGCTTTAAAAGTCGGCTTATGTGGCTGTGCCGGTCAGTTAGATCCCAGTCGACGCTGTGAACCAGCTGAGTTAGACAGGTTTGGCTAATTCGGCCTTTCCAAGCTTACAAAAGAATTTCTAAAAATTTTTAAAATCAAATTTTGTTGGATTGTAGAAAAAAATTGATAACTATATTACATACTTTGATGGAATTGTTGAATTGTCGTGAATACCAAGACTCTAGTTCCTAAGTGCCACAGTCATTGCACAGTGAAAAAATGCAGTAAATCTCAATGTTCATATTTATATTATTGATTAAATATCAATATCATTTTTAAATGAGCCAAAACATATTATAAAACCAAAAGGAACGATGTGATTACTTAGTCACCCTGACCACCATTGTCCTGACCATCATGCCACGTTGGATTGAGAAATTACCAAAACAAAAAGCAAACGTAAAAATTCTGTACTAAATAAATATTTTTTAAAAATTAATCTTTTTAAGAAAAATATAAAACCGAGGAAACAAATTGAACTTATTCGAAACAAAGGAAAACATGAACAAAAGGGATATCTAAATTATTCAACACAATATTTACAATAACCCCAATAAATTAAATATGATACTAATTTAAAAAAAAAATCGTACAGAATCTGTAGCGTACTTTCAGAAAGATAGAGAATTGAGCAAGAAAGTCATTAGAAATTAGGGAAAGAACTACAGAACATTTATTTGAATCACCTCTTCAGTGGCCTCCATGGAATGGTTCATATGTGATAACATTTTGCCCTATTCTATTTCTTCCTCCCCATCATAAGTGATGCCCCAATCCACCTCATCTGATGGAGCATGAGTTGGCAAAGGAATTAGCTTCTATGCAGAATTTATTATTGACTGAGTTGAATGAAGGGGTTGTTCTCGTCAAATTTGGCTCATGGACGATCTTTGTTGCAATATTGCCCAGATCACCGCAAAGCTCGTATTCAGTGTCTCTGTCTTCTTGATTGCCAGCATCTCTCTTGATTACTAGCATCTACCTCTTCAACAATTGCCGATTTCTAGGCTGGCCTACCCTCTGCATGAGGAATTCGAGCGGCCACCTCCCAGTCTAGCACATCATTAAGCTGATCAAAGAAGAAGTCAGTGCCATCCTCCTTTCCCAAAAATATTGGCTTTGCAAAACCAAGCAATGGGCTAAATGTGCGCTTGGGCCCTCCAATCAACTGGGTAGTCTAAATGGAAAGGTAGGCCCAAAGACTGGAGGCTTAGTTTTTTTTCCGAACTTGATGTGAAGCCTGTTGTTGGTGTTCACTATGAGAGCATTATGATTGGCAAACAAGTAGCGATGATTGGCCCTACTTCATTAGTAGCAACACTTGCATGAAGGTTTCCCCTGATGCAAAAAGTTAGGGAGCATAAATTTGTTGCAGGCCTCATAGTAAGGCAAGTTTCCCAATCTGTCCTAATGCAACTACCCATCCAAATTGGGATGCCTTTTGGAGAGCAGGGGATACAAGCAGCCTTGGTCAAGCCCCTGCTGCCGAGAAAAGCGTTGAGGGTAATAAGCCTCCAGTTGCTTATCACTCCCAATTGTAAGGGAGTATGCTACCCTTGCTTCTCAACAAGTACATGATCTCCACCTCAGTAGTCGGGAAGCCATCCAGTACTGCCCCTACTATGTCTTCAAAAGCCTGATCTATAAATGTGCCAAAAGGGACGACCTTGCAGCCCTCGAAGAAAGTTGGTCCTTCGAAAAAGCTCTTAACCTCATTTGCAGGCATGAAATTAGCCTGGATCCCCATGATCTTTAGCATTTGTGCACAACTTGCATTAGACAAGACATGGTTTGGTGTGTATATTTGGAGAAAGTAAGCTAAAAGTCAACCCAAATAATTAATGAACAGGAAATGCTGTGTTGAAGATCCGCTGTTCAACCTCGCTGGTAATAAACTTCTCGTTCTTATCAATAAGCCCCTGGCCATCTGGGCCTTTGACATTGGCCTACTTTCCCCTAAAAATGGCACCTAGTCCATGATAGAGGCTGCCTAACATTGCTTGCCAAGGCGGACTTCTTGCCAGTTGTTGTTTCACATGCAACTTAAAAGCATTCCTGAATGATCATGTCACCTCTTGAGGAAAGCAGAGGGAATTTGGAATGGAATAGGGTGAGATAGGCTTCAAGATGCAGCCTATCTTTGGCTAGCTTGCAGGGCTTAAGTCATTCTCGTCTATGAACTGTGGGAGTCCCTTTTGCATTGGGTAACTCCCTATCCCATGGTATTCTGTCTTGTCTGGATGAGTGTCTGTGCCATAGAAATAGTCTAGCTAAGTGTCCCTAAGGTTTTCTGCAGCTTAATTGAACCAACTTGTCATACTCATGAAAGAGCTCTTGGAGACTTTCAAGGGATGCTAACCCATCAATGGGTTCATTATTGAAAATGGTGGCATTTGGGGTAATACACTTATCATACATCTCCCCCAACATTGAAAGGCCCATGATAAACTGCATATCTAACAAAGGTATGCCACACTTCCTATGATCCATAGCATCAGTGTTGGTCTCATGGCTCCAAATCATTAAAAAGGCTCTGAACATGTTGGAGCACCATTCATATACCCTTATAGAGAATTTATAGGTTGCCAATAGAGATTTCTCGTGCAACTCATTTTTGAAACTCTCTTGGACATTTGCAATAGAGGAATAGTACCATCGGAGGTACTAAAGCTCCCCTTGAAATCTCAAGCCTTTGTTTGACCAACATAGAGTGGTGCTCCTTTTTTCCAGAGTTAGCAGGTTTGGCGTGATCCCACATCTCTATGAAGATACTGTATGAAGATAAAGGAAGAGGCCTTTCTCCTCCCTTCACCGGTCATCAAGACCCTCATCAAAGCCAAAGGGCCTGAACCTAACAGGCTTAGAAACACAAGTGATACCAGTGTTTTAAAATGTGGGATGTGGCCGTATGCATTGAGGGGGGGGGGGGGGCAGATGTGGTGCATCACTGCAATGCGGTCAATAAATATAATTTGTTAAAAAATTTTAAAAAATAGGTTAATGCATAGAAAAAAATATGGAAGTAATGTATGCAATAGTAGGTATTTAGTTTATTCATTAACTCCAAAAGTATTGGCTGTCAGGGATTCTGTATCCACTATCCCTTGATATAGACTAAAAACTTGAAACTAGCTTCATAAAACATTTAACAATCAATAACCATAAGTATAAATTTGCAACCACAAACTTTAAAGTTACAAAATGCTACAAACTAAAAGTCTATGAAGATTAAAGAGTTAAAAAGTCAAGCTCAAGAATAGTCAATACAATCATCATCATTTCTCAATTCTTTTTGACTTCCTCAAATCAGCACCCAATAGATACAAATCAACAACCAAGCATCAATCAATACATAAATCGAATAACTTCACAAAATCAAATTTCTGCCAATTTTGTTTTTTTTTGTTTTTTGATTCATTCGATCCAAAAAAGCCATGGATGTCGCGGAAAACTGATGTTTGGGGGGTTTAATACCCTCCAAACCCTTTCCCCCCCTTTTCGGGGGTCAAAAAGTCTCAAATACCACTGCCCGAGGGGTTCATTTTTGTAATATTGGCGGACCGCATATGCGGGATTATGTGTCCTATGCTGGATGCGGCCACATATGCAAGGAGATGTGGCCACATCTATCCAGAGCGCATATGCGGGCATTTGCGATGCGTTGCCCAGCGCATAACACTTGATGCGGTCGCCTATGAGGTGATGCGGCTGCATTTTAAAACACTGAGTGATACTCAAGGGCCAGCTCAAATGGAGATACTCAAGGGCTAGTTCAAATGGAGGTTGGAGGTAAACCTCCTCAAGGGCTTCTACCTCTTGAGGGAAGTACTAATGTAATCGTCTTCCTAGCTCTCACATTCACGAGGGAAACTATGGTATGAAACTTTAGCACAAAGATAGAAGTTAGCAAATAAGTGGAAAAGCCGAGTAAAAAAGAAAAAAGTTCATAAAAAATTGGCCCCTAGAAGAGTTCAAAGACTGAAGGCTAACTCACATAATGGCAGTACGACTGTCGGTTGAAGTCATCCGGCCTAATATGGCCGGTGAACATAGTGCTCTAAAGTCACCTCCGTAACATGGCTGGTGGACAAGAAACCTAGGAGCCGCCAATTGTAATATGGCAAGTGGATAAGAAGATCAAGGTTCACCAACCTTACTAAGCCGGTGGACATCGTAACATGGCTGGAGGAAAGGAATCCCAAGATTCACAGAAAAAGCTAAGCTAGAGATCTCAGGGACGCCCATGATTGGTGTTTGATGGAGATGGAATCCATATTGTTCATCGACGAGGAAGAGCCCCTTGAAACAACACGGCATTTCATCAGTCTCAAGGATTTGAACTTGCCGACGTGACTACAAAGGTAGTTTTGTGGAGGATTACAGTAGGAAATAACATAAATGAGTAAAATAAAGGCTTAAAATCAATAAATCTGGGGTTTGGAAGGAGTTTGCAAGAAAACTCAAAGAAATGGGTTTAAGTAAGGACCTAGTTTTTATGCATCCGGGCTTGCACCTATTACACTGTTGTCCCTCCTATCCAGGCATGCATTTGGGTAAACAATAGATGGGGCCCGAATTTTGAGATGGGTAACTGGGTAACCGGAACCTCAGGTTAACTCCAAC